ATATATATATATATATATATATATATATATATATGCAGTAGTAAATTAATTAGACCAAGCTTATAATGCCAAGTTTGTTTAATAAAGGTAGATGCAACTTTGGAGAATACGGGTCAACTGCCGTTGGTAACTATCAATGATTCTTTAACAGTTAAAAAAAATGTAAATATTAGTGGAGGACCGACATTTCCGTATACGTATGTTCCTCTTAATTATTATTTAAAATATATTTTTACTTATTTATGTATTTAACCAAAATTTTACAGCTTAGCTAAAGTTACTATACAGTGTTTAAACAGCAACTCAGCATTGGCTAAATAAATTCTTATTCTGTTGATCCACTTTGTAGTATTAAATTCATAATCAAAGTCAGAAATAAACTAAAAATTAATGAAAAAACACTTTTTCAGTGAATTAAAAAAATCTATGGAAAGAAAATGAATATATTGAATTCCCAAATAAAATTAAAGTGTCAAGAAACTAAGTGGCTGTTCTGTTTAGGTATCGGTTACATTACTTAACGTTTCACTTTGGTAAGGCATCAGAAAGTGAACGTGGTTCAGAGCACACAATTGACAAAACCAGATTTCCAGCCGAGGTTCAAAAACCTTTAAAATCTTAGTCGTTCTAGAACTCCTGATATACTGTTTTTTCTTAGCAAACAGCTAACTAATATACTTTTTTACTGTTCAAGCTAAGCGACAGCATTTAGTCTGCAATGACGTTTTCAGGTTTCCAAAACCATGAAACCGATAATTTAGCAGTAGCATAAAAAATTAGCATCAAGTTGTTGCTATCGAATCGGCATCATTTTCAGTGTCGTTTGTCCTTCCTTTCTCTTGCCATTATTTTCTAGTAGCTGTTTTACTTACAGATTCAGATGCTTGCATACAATACGGATTTGTATGCAAATTTTTCTGAAGCAATGACTCGACCTCATGGACTTTTGGCAATTGCTGTTATTGTTGATGTTCGTTTGTTTCCGTACATCGTTGTTGTTTGTCACTTTTCAACACTTTAACACTTAATCAACTTCCTTTTTCTTTCTTCTTTTTCCCCCCTTTGCTTGTTCTTTCTTTTGCGAAACATAAAACAGCATTTTGATCCAATTTTTTTCCTCTTCACTTCAATTGAAATTTATTTGTTTTGCTTCTTTTTTTTCTTTTTATTGCAAAATTGTCAACGAAAGATCAATTGAATAAGGAAACATTGTCAAATTTCATCAAAAAAATCGTTGTTTGCGCGTAACAAATCGGTGCAGCAGTTTAGTTTCTTTTTGAAAATTTTACAAAAAGTTTCTATATATTGTGCCAAAAAAAGTAAAGAATAAATGTGTATATCAAAAAAATTTATTCTTTACTTTTTTCCTTTGGTTATTTTCAGATTGGCGCTGTTACAAATCCAGAACTTAAACGATTAACTGTTGCTTCACAAAGTATTCGTTATAAAGGTTAGAAATGAAAATTTTAGTTAATGGTTGTCTTTTTTTCCCTTCTTTTTTTTTCTCTTTATATGGTTTATTTCATTTTGTGCTCTGTTGGCAGATCACAGACTGAGGTTGACAACGAAACCTTATTTTAGGGTCAACAGCAGTGATGAAACACTTTTATGCTCGTGGATTTTTGCCGCGTAGTACTGACTATATCACTTATGAGGGTTCATTAACATATCCGGGATGCTATGAGACTGTTACATGGGTGTTAATGAATAATCCAATCTACATACAGACTGAAGATGTAAGCTATACAGTTGAAAAACAAAATAAACTAAGCAAAAGAAAAAAGAAGAAACTTATTTAGTATAATCTTTATTCAATAATATTTTTGGTTCTCAACTTCTTTTTCTTTTTTTTTTTTTTCCACCAAGCATATGTGTTAACAATTGTTGCTCAAAGATTATTCAGCAGATTTACTTTTACTTTTTTTTTTCTTTTCGTTCTTCCTCTTTCCTCTTTTTTTTCCTGCACTTAAATTTTTAAATAACTAAAATATGAGAAAGAAAGAAAAAGCAAAAAAAAATTTTTTTTTTCTTTTCCACTTAAGAAGAAAGTGGTAAACAAAAGAGCTGAATAAAACATAAATCAAGACCAAATGCTATTTTGAGCTGCTGTTCTGGAGTGAAATTCAGACCGAGAAAGAGGATGCAGTTAATCCGGCAATGATGACTTCCAATTATCGTCCATTAAGAGCACTTAATGGACGCTTAATTCGTACCAATATTAGCATTAAGCAAAAGGTAACCTTACTATTTTTAATTATACACCAATAAATAAATAAGGCAAAACAAACAGAAAACTTTTTTAACCAACTTTTTTTTCTTTTACTGTCACTTAAATAACTGTTTGTTGATTAATGTTGTTTACTTTTATCATATTTATCGATGGAAGAAAAATAAAAGTTATAGGAAATGAAACGCTTTTTCTGTGAATATATGTAAATTTTATTAACTTAATTAATCTACCGTTTACTTGCTAATTTTCTCCTTTGATTTTGTTGTTGTTGTTGCTGCCGCTGCTGCTGTTAAAATCATCGTTAATAATGGGGAAATTTAAAAGGTTCTTTACAACAACGATAACAAAAGTTTGTTCTCAGTGTTTCTGTGAATTCTTCTACCTACTGACTGAAGTTACCATGAATTGTTGCAGAATTTTCAGAATGATTCATTACAAACATGCCTCAGTAACATCTATGTTGATCTCGGTTATCGGGCTAACCCAGATCGTGTTGTGATGTCCAGTGCTGTATCCAAACAACGACGACATTCGGCGTTAACAACAGGAAATGCTGAAATGATTCATCGGCATAGTTTTGAATCGTCGTCAAACATTGACAGTTATCATCAACCGTATGAATACATTCATAACTTCTAATCTCAACTTTTTTGTTTCTCTACTTTAGTTTGATCTTGTATTCTGTTTGTTCTTTATTCTTTTGTTTTTGTAAATGTTTAAACTTGTTACGGGTCTTTTTTTTTTCTTTTTTGATATATGTTTTGTTCGTTTCTTTTATTTATTTATTTATTTATTTTTCACTTTTTTTTTTTGTTTCCTTTGTTGTACATCTGCATAAAATAATTGATAATGTTGAAGCAAAATAGTATTTGTTGAAACTTATACTTTGGCAAGATTTTTTTTCTTGCTTTTCTCTTATCAATTGTCCAAGATTTAATTAAACACAGTTACTTAACCTTCTCTACTGTTTTTGTATTTGTCGTGTATTACTAACAAATACTATGCAATTGTTTTTCTTTCTTTTTCGTATTTTTTTTTATTGTTGTTGTAATTATATATGAAGAAATTAGAGAATAACAAATGTGCCTAAGATGAAGTTCAGAATATCAATGTTATTTTAGTCTTACTATGAATAGGGAGTTGATAATTTGGAAAAAAATCTTGGAACAAACAAAACAGCGGGCTAACAAAATGAGCGTTTTCTGTTACTGAAACAAGAAAACATTTTGATGATTTATAGAATAAATGTGGTGATAAATACAGTTTTTTTATTTTTTTCATTTAGATACAGACTAACTAATAGAAACTTAACAAAAAAACCAATCAAACTTTTTTGCTTTTTTTTCTTTTGTTCTAACTTTAAGCACAATTATTTAGTTTTTAGTACTTCTGTAACACAACAACTGATAAACAACAACGGTTCTGTAACCGATCAACGGTCAATAAATACCGAATGTCATCAGTAGATGAAAGCATTGAAATTTGCCAAAAAGAAAAGCCTACAAACTATACAACACTAAGAGCTTCAGCCTATAAGAAACTGGTTATGCGTTCATTGTTTTCTGATGAAAATCATCAATTAATAATTGTATTTGAAGCTTTCAGTAGAATTTATTGTCTTCTTTTTTCTGTTGACAAAAAAAATTACCTAAAAAACAAATTTTTATTTACTGTATGGCAAACAGAACATCGAAAAATATTATAGAAATAAAAAAAAAAATTCTGTTATATCTATGAAACGCTTTTTGTCAATGTCACCTAAAAACCAAATGATCAGTGTTATTGCTATGATCTCTTCTCTGTTTCTTCTCTAAGATTATCTGATTGTTAAGAGTAGCATAAAACATTTCAAAATTTAGTAACACGCAAAATAGCAGCAGTTATGAGAACCGTATAAAAAAAAATCGCAACACAAAAGTTTACAAAGTCTGTGTTATAAGACAGGCCAAAAATTTGACGGTTCTAGTTATTCAGTTATGGCCAATACAGTGAACAAACAGGCAGTTTAAAATCTTTACAAAACCAAAGAAAGACAGTTTCATATTTATAACATTGTAAAAAAATCAGTAAACATTGTTGTAATCGAAAAAAATTAAGTGAAATTTACTCAGTCAACTTAGAATTAGAACAATTTTTTTTGGCTATAAACTATTGCTGCAGTAAGCTTACAGAATGACTAAACTTTGTTCTTTTACTAAGTAGTAACTGTAAGATTTTAAAATGAGCATAAAGCTGTATAATAGTAAAATAAAATTATTTTTAAACTTTTTTTGTCCTCTGGTATCAAATTATATTATTTGCAATCACAAGGAAAAAAGAATGAGTATAATCAGAAAAATATAATTTGTTGACAACTTTTTTTTTCAACAAAATATAAATTAGTTTAACTAAAAATGTTTTTAAAAAAGTGCAATTTGCAGCTTTTTCTGCAAGATATTAAATATAATGCTAGATTTTTTTTTTTTTTTTTTTTTTT